GAAGTCCTTGACAACTTCAATCTTTTCTCCATTAATAAGAATGTTGTTTATTGGTCCAGTGGTGAGGATTTTTGTTTTCTTGACATTAAGATGTAATCCATATCGAAGGCTGTGCTCTTTGATCTTCATCAGTAACTATTTTAAGTCTTCTTCACTTTCAGCAAGCAAGGTTGTATCATCTGCATATTGATTGCAGGTTGTTAATGAGTCTTCCTCCAATCCTGATGCCATGTTTTTCTTCATAGAACCCAGCTTCTCAGATTATTTGCTCAGCATACAGGTTGACTATATATGGTGAAAGAATATAACCCTGTCGCACACCTTTCTTAATTTTAAAACATTCAGTGTTCCCATGTTCTATTCAAACAATTGCCTCTTGGTCCAAGTACAGATTCCTCATGAGCACAATTAAGTGTTCTGGAATACTCATACTTCTCAATGCTGTCCATAGCTTGTCATGATCTACACAATCAAAAACCTTTGCATAGTAAATAAAGCACAGGTAAACATCTTTCTGATATTCTCTGCTTTCACACAAGATCCATTGGACATCAGCAATGATATCCCTCATTCCACAACCTCTTCTTAATCCAGCTTGAGCCTCTGTAAATTCTCTGTCAATGTATGCTTGCAGCCGTTTCTGTATTACCTTGAGTAAAACTTTACTCACATGAGATATCAAAGATATTGTCTGATGATTTCTACATTCCATTGGGTCACATCTCTTTGGAATGGGCACAAATACGGATCTTTTCCAATCAGATGGCCAAATAGTTGTCTTCCAAATTTCTTGGCATAGATGAATGAGTGCCTCCAGTGCCGCATCACTTTCTTGAAAGATTTCAATTTTGATTCCATCAATTCCTGGTGCCTTGTTCTTCACCAATTCCTTCAATGCACCTTGGACTTCTTCAGCTTCCTCTTGGTCTATGTACAGATTCCTCATGAGCACAATTAAGTGTTCGGGAATACTCATTCTCTACAGTGTTGTCTATAGCTTGTCATAATCCACACAATCAAAAGCCTTTGTGTAGTCAATAAAGCACAGGTAAACATCTTTCTGATATTCTCTGCTTTCAGTCAAGATCCATCTGATGTCAGCAATGATATCCCTCATTCCACATCTTCATCTGAATTTGGCTGGAACTTCTGGAAGTTCTTTGTCCTTGTGTGGTTGCAGCCTTTTTCGTATTATCTTTAGCAAAATTTTACTTGCAACCCATATTAATGATATTGTCTGATGATTTTCACATTCCGCTGGATGACCTCTCTTTGGAATGGGCACAAATATGGCTCTTTTCCAGTCAGATGTACAGATAATTGTCTTCCAAATTTCTTGGCATAGATGAGTGAGTGCCTCCAGTGCTGCAGAAGTTTGTTGAAAGATTTCAGTTTGTTCATCAGTTGTCAGTGCCTTGTTCCTTGCCAATGCCTTCAATGCACCTTGGACTTCCTCCTTCAGTATCATTGGCTCTTGATCATATGCTACCTCTTGAAACACTTGAACATTAACCATTCCCTTTTGGTACAATGACTCTGTGTATTCCTTCTATCTTCTTTTGATGCTTTCTGCATCATTCAATAATTTTCTCAGAGAATCTTTCAGTAACAAAAGTCGAGGCTTGAATTTTTTCTTCAGTTCCCCCAGTTTGAGAAATGCTGAGCGTGTTCTTCCCTTTTGGTTTTCTGACTCCAGATCTTTGCACATTTCGTTATAAAATTTGACTTTGTCTTCTTGAGCTGACCTTTGAAATTTTCTGTTTAGCTCTTGGACCTCCTCATTTCTTCCATTTGCTTTAGCATATCTACACTGGAGAACAAATTTCAGT